GTGCAGCTGGTGGAGTCTGGGGGAGGCTTGGTCCAGCCTGGGGGGTCCCTGAGACTCTCCTGTGCGGCCTCTGGATTCACCTTCAGCAGCTATGAGATGAGCTGGGTCCGCCAGGCTCCAGGGAAGGGGCTGGAGTGGGTCTCATACATTAGTAGTGGTGGTGGTAGCACATACTACGCAGACTCCGTGAAGGGCCGATTCACCATCTCCAGAGACAACGCCAAGAACTCGCTGTATCTGCAGATGAGCAGCCTGAGAGCCGAGGACACGGCCGTGTATTACTGTGCGAGACACAGTGAGGGGAGGCCCGTGTGAGCCCGGACACACACCTCCTGCGGGGGCGCGCGGGGCCACCAGGGGGCGCTCGGGACCACCGAGGACGGAGCAGGCCCCAGGAGCAGGTGCAGGGGGAGGGTCCTCTTTTTCAGACGCAAGAAGCGGATTTCTTTTTGCAGGACTCTGGAGTCCTATAAGTTTACAGTATTTTATTATTTTTAGTTATGATGTATTTTCATTGATATTTGTGTTTTTGTAATTTTTAAATTTATATGTAGGGGTATTTTTAAAGATACATACCTTCAAGAAATAATTCTTCCAAATTATTTGCACTTATTCTTCTAGACTTTTATTAACATCTGTCAATATCAGCAACTACATAGCTATAGGGACATTAATTTACATCTATAGACATATATGCAAATACACAAACCTATGCATACATGTGTAGTAATTTACATTTATCATTATAATACAACAATTCTAAAATATGTCCTAAAGAATCAACCTTAATGATAAACTACATATAAATTATTAGAGTTATCTATAATTGATTTCAATGATTATGGTTTACATAAATTGATGTCTATTTGTAATCTTAAACATAATGTATGGGTCATTTAAAAATAGTCAAGAACAAATTTCAAATGTTCTAGTCACAAAAATGATAAAGCCTTGTAAATTTGAGGTATGACTACACCTCAAAAATAGCAAAACTAGTCACTACCAGAAAAGGTCTATAATGTTATATTCCATTTATATGAAGTTTAAAACAGAAAAACATGGATTTACAGTGCCAGAAATCAAAACACTTCCCCACGCAGGAGTTGACCACAGGCACAGAGAGGTAATATATGTGTCGATTAGCTTGATTCAGTTATTCCATATTGTATTCACAAATTATAACATAGCTTTGTTCCCCATAAATATATACAACCAAAATTTCCTGATTTTCAATGAAACTTTAATTATATTTTTTATTCCATCTTGGGTCATGAATTTTTTCTACCCATCCAGATCTGATTGGATTGTCCTGAGTAACTCACCCATGCTCCTGTGTCTTCAATGGGCAGAATCAGAAAAACCATGTGTATTCACAGGACCTGGAGCCTCTCTCTCCTTGGATTAGGCCACCTCCTCAAAATTACAGGGATCTTCAGTTTTCTCAACATTCTGCTGCACCACATAAACACACAAACACTTCATTTTATTATGTTTTGCTTTAACTTTTCAAACAACATAAACTTGATAATTTTAACAATAAACCTGTTACAACCTACTATACATGAGACTCTTCCTATGGTTCCAGGTTTCTTCTCAGGACTTTATTTGTATTACATATTTTCAATTTCTTTCTGATATGAGATGTTGATGTCTCTTTATTACTGATTATTCTTTTATCTATTAAAATTAATTTTTCCAAAGACTCACTCAAAATCAGAGTATTATTAGAACTTTGAGGTGTAATCGTTGGACCAACATTGAAGATAAATTCATTTACATATTTTCAAATATTCTTTTCTCTCTAAAAGTTTTTCTCAGTTGTAATATAACACAAAATAGTAATTTATACTTATGACACAGGCTAAAATCTTGTATAAATAATTTAAAGACATTTGATTGGAGAAAGTAATACGTGTTCATCATATGTCTTGACTACTTTTTTTTCTCTATAAAATGTATGCTTATTAACTTTTAAGTTACAGATGTTATCCTTATCTTTTCAGTTTCTGGAATTTAATTTTAGTAGGTATACTAGAATGTACTTTATTAATTCATGTTCATACTAATGTTCATATTTTAGATAAGATTTTAATGTTGATTTTATTATTTGCTGAATTTTAAAGTATTTTATACTTTTTTATTTCATGTTTTACAAGATAAAATGTATATGTAAGAAGAATGCATAGATCTGAAATGTACCACTAGAGAGTTTCTGTCAAATGTGAGTACCCTTGTCCCCAACACCTAAGGTAGCCTAAAGAGCAAGTCCATCCCCCAAACACGGGTCTTTCCCTGTGCTTGCAGTCAACACCTACATGGAGAAGTGTTTTGATTTCTGACACTATGGATCCATGTTTTTCAGTTTTCAACTTCATATAAATAGAATCTAACATTATAGGCATTTTTGGTAAGACTCTACTTTTATATTGGTAAGAGAAGACTTTTATTTTAATAAAATAGAGACAGAGAGAGAGAGGAAGGGCAGATATTTTATATCTGAGTCACTACATTAAGTAAATACATGACAATATATTGATCTATTTTTTGTCAGTGAACTTTAGTTTTGTTTCCAGTTTATCAGTATTATAAGCAAACCTGTTACAAATACCTTAGTGTAAGTTTTTCTATGTTGCCTTATTTTTACTGAGAAAATATGAAGTATGCATTTATCAATCATAAGAGTAAGTTGAAACTTTTCAGTTGTATTGGGGTATAATAGAAAAAAATATAAATATGTATGTTTAAGGTGTACCACTTTATGTTTTCATGATGTATCATTCCATTCTCACATTGCAATAAAGAAATGCCTGAGACTGAGTAATCTGAAAAAAAAAAAAGATGTTTAATTGACTCATGGTTCTGCAGGCTGTACAGGAAGTGTAGTGGCTTCTCCTATTGGGGAGTCTCAGGATACTTAGAATCACAGCAGAGGACAAAGGGGAGCAGGCACATCACATGGCCAGAGCAGGAGCCACAGGAAGGAGGGGCAGGCATCTACACACTGTTAAGACAACCAGGAAAAATTACTATCTAAATTTAAAGGTCTACATCTTTCAGAATACCCTGCACGACAGGCCGACACAAAGAAATCCAACCCAACAGGGGCTCCATAACAACCCTTACACTTCTTTCAGGGAAGAAATAATCTCCAAGTGAAGTGAATCAGTAAAGCTGCTCCCAGCTACAGTAAAAATTGGATTGGGCCCAGATTTGTCTGAGTTCAATGTGATTATTATACTCAGCTGCTGCTCCAATATAGCCTGAGTATGAATAATTTAAATGAGCCTGGCTGTGTGGTTTGTTATATGAAATTCTGAACTAAATGAACAAAAAGGGCATGTCAGGACTAGCATGAGGGTGAGAGATGCTGGGAGCCCCACCCCCCATGCTCTCATTGCCCTTTCCTCCAGGAAACTCCAGGTTTTCAGGGTGAGAATCCACATAGATCCCTGCATGGCTGTTACCAGGACACCTTATCTCTGATAAATACACCCAGACCTCCTTCAGAAAGAGAAAACACGGGAAGGGCATTTTTAGATCCTCATCTGTGTGAGGAAAGTAATCCATCCCCATGACAAGCCCATACCAGCAGCCTTCCTCTATCATGAAAATTGGTAAAATTAGCCAATAAGGGTACATTAAAAAAATTCTCCTGTGATGTTCCAGCCACAAAAGAGCAACAATCAGCTTCACATCTGGAGACTTCCTGTATAGGTCACAGCCCAGAGAAAGGAGACCACTAAAGCATTACAATTCAGCTGTAAGAACATGTAATGCTTCCGTGTTCCGCACATTACATTCTCACCAGTTTAGTCAACATGGATTAAATATGAGAGTGTGGTGATGCACAAACTCTATCTGAGGAGGAAAAGAGGAGAAAAAATGTTAAGGTAAATAGAGCAATTTGGAACCGCTGACACCAGCAACTTCAGCCACAATAAAATGATTTCACCTTCGTGGTCTCAAATTTACTTTCCATGGGGCATGTGCAGAGTTCCAAAGTGAGACCAGGTGAATTCAATGTGCAAGCACTTCTCGATGGGATCCATTAATATAAAAATTTGCCACAATATGTGTGTGTGTGTGCCTGTGTGCCTGTGTGATTTGAAGAGCAGATTTGGAGTGGGCTTCTAGCCACAGCACTTGCACCTGCAGGTATCCTCAGATGTAATAAGAAACTGAAAGACCATAAAGGAAATAGTAATCTCCCCCAAACTCCTGAAGAGTTTTTGGATTCACCATTTGTCCAATGATTCAGTGCCTCTTGAGCTGCAGGAAAGGGCTCCCTGGTGATGCAGGAGATCTTTTCTTGGGGTCTCCCTGCAGAGTTCGCTGGTTTCCTAAGACCAATTTAATATTCCAAAAGATGCTGTGAGAGGCATATCGCATCAATAAAGGAGAATTCCGAGCCAGGGCACAGCCAATTTATACTGGGCTGGAGACACTGGTGGGAATATATTCTGATCAGAAACATCTCTGCAGGGCTGGGACTGGGCTGCAGGGGGCGCTCAGGACACACCCAGCACAAGCTGCTGGCCCAGAGCAGGTGCACAGGAGGCTGGGGAGGGATTCCTCTCAGGACCTGGAACTTCCTTTAAAGATATCTAAAATTAGTATTTCACAAGGACTGGCGATGTTTGTAAAAATATCCTGTTGAATTGTGAGCATTTATCAACCTGGATGTTATGAGAACCACTTTTACAATGGGGATTGCAAACTCAGCTAAATCTCTTAATAGTAACCAGTTGGAGGTCAGGAAGAGATTCTTATAAATAAGAAAATTTTGGAGAAACACACTCATTCCCAAAATAACACATTCTCACATTAAGGTCTAGAAATGGTTCAAGTTGCCCCTGAGACATTCAAATGTGGGTTCAAAATGACATGTGTCCTGGGTAAGTCTGTTACCCAGTGGAGGAAGCTCTGTCAACACAAAGTTCAGGGATGTGTTGGGGACACATGGCTTCTCACAGGATTATGGCTTGAACCCTCAGCTTCTACAGTTGTATCGTCCATGTGTCATATATTTGCTCTTTCTCATACTGGGTCAGGAATTGGGCTATTAAATAGCATCCTTCATAAATATGCAAATAACTGAGGTGAATATAGAGATCTCTGTGACTGAGAGCATCACCCAACAACCACACCCCTCCTCGAGAGAAGCCTCTAGAGCACAGCTCCTCACCATGGACTGGACCTGGAGGATCCTCTTCTTGGTGGCAGCGGCAACAGGTAAGGGGCTCCCCAGTCCCAGGGCTGAGGGAGTAACCAGGGCAGTCAAGTGAGACTTCACTCACTCCTGTCTCTTCTCCACAGGTGCCCACTCCCAGGTGCAGCTGGTGGAATCTGGGGCTGAAGTGAAGAAGCCTGGGTCCTCAGTGAAGGTCTCCTGCAAGGCTTCTGGATACACCTTTACCAGCTACTTTATGCACTGGGTGCGACAGGCCCCTGGACAAGGGCTTGAGTGGATGGGATGGATCAACCCTTACAATGGTAACACAAAGTACGCACAGAAGTTCCAGGGCGGAGTCACCATAACCAGGGACACATCCACAAGCACAGCCTACATGGAGCTGAGCAGCCTGAGATCTGAGGATACAGCCGTGTATTACTGTGCGAGAGACACAGTGTGAAAACCACATCCTGAGAGTGTCAGAAACCCCAGAAAGAGGGCAGCGGCACTGAATTTGAGATTTCAGGGCTTACAATCTTTAAAGTTGTTTAGAAAATGGGCTAAGCAATTGAGGAACATGAGTAATAGAAACATGTATGCACACTATATAGGAAATATTTCTTTCAAAGGTGGCTGTATACGCAAGATTCTCAGAATGGTAAAGGCAACAATCAATCAAGCTGATGGAAAGTTTCCCATGGAGACTTTGGCAGACGTAAGTTTTAAAATCAGATAGATAAATAATTTGGAGCACAATTGCTCGAAACATGACTAAGACTAAATATTATTCCTAAAAACTGGCCAAAATGTATTCCAAAATGTCTCTGCCACCCTTTTTACATGAAATGTATCAAAAAGTAGCTTTAAGACAGCAAAATTGAACAGAAGGTGCAGAGAGCTCCCCTGTGCCCCTCTTCATATATGCACAGCCTGCCCCACTATCACTGTCCTGCTCCAGAGTCATAAATATGTTAGAAAGAATGAGCTTACATGGACAGATCGTTTCTTTCTTCTTCTAGCTGTTCCTTGGCATACCAAGCTTAAATTATCTTGAAGTACCACAGGTGTTTGAAGTGGGTTCCTGGGAATGATGCCAGTTATAGGAAAAGTGGGTGGGGCTATTCCTATTAGGAGTCCTCCTTAGAGGATTGATAAAATGGATATTTCCTATAGGTTCTATAATTTCTTTCCCTCTCAGAAGTTAAGGTCCCAAAGTGCTCAGAGGTACATCCATGTCTATGGAAAGCCAGCAAGTTCTGGTGAATCCCATCAGGAATGTCCTTCAATGAGAAGTAGAGACCATGGCCATGAGGCACATCATGTATGATTCTCTATAGTTCCATTAGATTCACTGTAAGGTTTCGTGGGTGTTTCTGTGTGAGTCCCTTTTACAGAAAATAAAAACACATACATGCATTTCAGGCAGAAGCAATAGTTTCCATTTAGAAAATGGGAGGTAAATAGAAGTAACCCTCCCCTGGGCGGGCACTGGTCCCCCTTGTGGGATGCACACTAGCCAGAGAAATGAGCCCGATTGGTCTTGGAGGGTGAGAGCCCCACTGGGGTCACTGGCTACGGAAATGCCTTGTTCTCCAGCTGAGTGAGTCCACCTGCTTGCTTGTTGGTGTCAACCCCATGGTGGGTACACTCTGTAAGATGACAAGTTGCACACAAACCTTCTATCAATTTTCAATTACTACACACTCAAAACAACCTGCATTCCAGAAAGGATAGGTGTCTGCAGGGATAAACAGAACTTAAGTATATTTTTTTAAATAGGGAAGACACTGCCAAATGCCATATTTAAGGAAGGTTAACTCAGAAATGTTGACTAAGTGACTGAAGGGCAGTGGTGGATGAGATAGTGTGGTGGCTTCAGGGCTGCACATGAGGAGGGCTCCCTTCCACATGCAGGCTTTTCTTCCAGGAACTGCACCAGGAGTTCACAGAAGATTAGGGAGAATTGTGAAGACATCATTCTTTGGTGCTGACTAGAGAGCAAGTATAAGCTATGGGGAGAAAACCCAGGTAAAGTATTAAATTTGTTAATAGAAACTATTTCTGAAACCTTGTGGAGGTCGTGACATAAGCCATCATTAGCTCTGAACAAACATTTAAACCTTCCTTCCATGGGGAATTCAGTTATGCTGCATCTGTTCTTTTACGGACAATATCCCCCAACCCCTCTGTATTTCCTGCACATCCCCTGCTCTCTGTGGGACAAGTTCTCATCAGTGAAATGTAGTTGATGTAGTGACGTCTTCACTTTTCTCATTGTATGAGTCAGGATTCTCTAGAGGGACAGAACTAATAGAATAGATGCACACATTTGAAGGGGAGTTTATTAAGGAGTATTGACTCACATCATCACAGGTCAAGTCCCTTAATGGGCCATCTGCAAGCTGAGGAGCAAGGAACCCAGTCCGAGTCCCACAAGCTCAAAAGCTGGGAAGCCAACAGTGCAGCCTTCATTCTGTGGCCAAAGGCTGAAGAGCCCCTGGCAAACCGCTGGTGTGAGCCCAAGAGTGAAAAAGCTGAAGAACTTGG